CGGGGCTTTCTCGCCCCGGAGCTCGCAGGTAGCAATCCGCTACCTCGACCTCCGGGGCGAGAAAGCCCCGTTCGTAAGTGCGGATCCGACATAAGTCGGATCCACGTAAGTCGGGGACTGCCTGTATCACTTTTATTTTTTGTCGAGTTGATATTTCTTCTGATCCACTGTAAAGATGTTGATCCAGTGGAAGTTTTAAGCGTCTCTCCAGTGTCACTAAATGGGAGGAAAACATTCTGGTCGTCTTAAGCACAGTGATCTTCCACTTTGTAACCTGTAGTGTAGAGAGATGCTCTTGACTTGGGCACTTGAGAGCCATTATACATTCACGTGGAGTCATTGGATCATAAAAAATAAAATCATCTGGTTCATTTAAAAAAAAAAATCCTAGGAAAGATTCCTTGCCTCGGGTCTTTCTATTCAATGTTACAATTGTATATTGGCCTTTGATACGCTACTTGAATTTTATGCATAATAAAAAAGCTACAAAATTTGCTCTAGTGAGCAGCTGGGTAAGTCCTTTGAAGGTGGAAACCGAGCACAAAGCTTTTCCTTCTCTTTCAGGCTCTTGAGGAGGCCCAAAAAGCCATTCAGCAGCTCTTTGGTAAGATTAAGGATATCAAAGACAAGGCTGAAAAATCAGAGCAAATGGTGAGTGGCACTTTCTTCCTGGCCTTTAAAGGGCGTGGGAGGTCTTCTGTTTCCATGGTTTGTTGTTTATCCACCCTAAAAGTCACACACAGCATGCAGAACTAGAGCCAGAATGAACTCTCAATTCCATACATTGCTCGTATGTAGGCACTGCACCCTTGTTCCTATGTTAATGTAGCTGTAGAAGCTGGTAGGGTTCCCATCCCAGGGTAAAGAGGCCCTTCACACCCTCTCCTTGCAATTTGCTGCAGCGGCTTTGATGTTTAATCAGTCTTTTGTTTTTAATCCTTAGGTTAAAGAAATCACACGCGATATCAAGCAACTAGATCATGCTAAGCGTCATCTGACCACCTCCATCACTACTCTCAATCACCTGCACATGCTGGCAGGTGGTGTGGATTCGCTTGAGTAAGACACAGGAATTTTCACTGATGCTTTTATTGTTAGGGAGCCCTATAGCAGTATTCTGGAGTACTGGGTGACATTCTGAATAGCCGATTTTTCTTGCTCCAGGGAAGTATGCTCATAAAGTTAGCGGCTATTATAAATCCTGTTGGCAGGTCTTTTTTGAACATACCCAGTAGGCCCTGCAATCCTTGTCCCTGTGACTTAGGAACTATTGTTGCAATGTTGGACTCAAGTTGTCACTGATTATCAGCATCTTTGGTGTGTTGATATATGATATTAATTCTGAGAGTGGTTATTACAAATTAGAGCATCCTTCAAGTGGTATTTGAGATTAGTGAAATGTATCTATGCTTGCTTTGGCAGCACATGTACTAAAATGTATTTAATTGTTTGCATTTCTAAGGTGCCCACTAGTGCTGCATGCAGGTGCTGTTAAATAGATTATAAAGTATGTTTGATGGTCCATCAAGAGAAGAGAACCCGCTTTTTCTCATCCGCCTGCATTCTGAAACTACACTTTAGCAATAGTAGTCTCTGGTTGGTTTACATGAGGAACACACTGCAGGGGGCAGTCCATAGATTTTACTTGTTGAGATGACTTTGCAAGCAACTGGAAAGCTGCAAGATGGGGGGCTAGGCCTGGTTTGCATAGTAGTGAATTACCCAACTGAGAGCCCGCTTCAGAGAACCTTGTGTTTCTAGGCACTTACATTTTAAATCCAAGCCTTCCCAGCTGTATGGAGCCTGGAGGCTGAGGAAACAGAAATAAATAACGTCAAGGCCAACAGCTTTTCATTATAATAATTCTCTTCTCTGTGAGGCTTTAATTCATACTTCTGGGAAGTGAAAAAGCTTGATTTGGGTCAGTATGGCAAAATAACATTTACTGCTTTCAAACCTATACTGGTGAAGTTGATGCATTCAATAGTTTACATGTTCTTTGCCAAGAGTTACTTTTGTCGTCTATGTTTTTGAAGCATTATTAGATGTATGCTGTTTCTGTTTATTTTAGCATCAGTTAAAACAAATTCTAATGCTGCAGTGGAATGTTAATGAACATTTGTATGTTTTTAGAAAAATAAATTTCAGTATGGCTTGCAGTGAGCAGGATGAAGTAATTTATGGAATTGCCACCCAAAATCTGCCCTTTACATTGAGCCTGATTTCTTCTACAGGGCTATGACCAGGAGGAGGCAATATGGAGAAGTTGCCAATCTCCTACAAGGTGTCGTGAATGTGTTAGAGCACTTCAACAAATATATGGGGATTCCCCAGATACGACAGCTTTCTGAAAGGTAAAACCATCCGTTCTTTTGCACTTTGCATGCCTGTGAGGAAAGGAGCTAGAAAATGCATTGCACAGGGTAACTTTTCTGAGAATTTAAAGGCTGGATACAAAGCTTAAGTTTATATCCAGCGTAAATAAATAGGTGTTTTGTTTAAATTGAATGCAATGGGCTCATCTCTTTCACAGTCCATTTTATTCATAACAGTGATGAATATGTATACAATTCACAAATGGCCTGGGCTTCCCATTGCCTGGCTTTTAATCATAGAGTCATAGAACACTAGGGCTGGAAGGGACCTCGAGAGGTCATCGAGTCCAGTCCCCTGCCCTCATGGCAGGACCGAGTACTGTCTAGACCATCCCTGTTAGCCATTTATCTGAACTACTCTTAAATATCTCCGGAGATGGAGATTCCACAACCTTCCTGGGCAATTTATTCCAGTGCTTGACTACCCTGACAATTAGGAACTTTTTCCTAATGTCCAACCTAAACCTCCCTTGTTACAGTTTAAGCCCATTGCTGCTTGGTCTATCCTCAGAGTCCAAGATGAACAAGTTTTCTCCCTCCTCCTTATGACACCATTTTAGATACCTGAAAACTGCTATTATGTCCCCCCTCAATCTTCTCTTTTCTAAACTAAACAAACCCAATTCTTTCAGCCTTCCTTCATAGGTCATGTTCTCTAGACCTTTAATCATTCTTGTTGCTCTTCTCTGGATCCTCTCCAATTTCTCCACATCCTTCTTGAAATGCGGTAACCAGAACTGGACACAATACTCCAACTGAGGCCTAACTAGCGCAGAGTAGAGCGGAAGAATGACTTCTCGTAACTTGCTCACAGCACACCTCTTAATGAATCCCAGAATCATGTTTGCTTTTTTGCAACAGCATCACACTGCTGACTCATATTCAGCTTGTGGTCCACTATAGTTAGTCGCACAGTAGTTAATTTACTAACAGTGACCATTGTGTTCTGTGGCCTTGTATGAATCGGTATTTGTAATAAACTCAGAGCTGATATTTTCGATCACCTCACTTTAGCCCAGAAGCATAACACACAGTAAAAATGTACATTTAAAGCAAAACCAAAAAATGTTTGGAGCCACTTTCTGCCCTGACTTCCATGGTATTGCACAGAGTTTGAGTCAGAGCCGAATTTTTCCCCATGGTGTTGAGTCTAGAGCTTCATGTGTGTCCAGTTTCCATTGGTTCATGTAGGTGGAGCCGTCACCTTATTTCCCCCAAATAACCAAACAAGGCTATTCTGAATCTGCTGAGTTGTATCTGATTTCCACCTGAAATTGGACCCACTTGGCTCTTAGCTCAGTAATACTAGTGCAACTGAGGCTTGTGGCAACCCCCTCACCAAGGGGAGAAATAAATTAGGCAAAACATGACTGATTCGGCTATGAAACGTTTTCACTTAGCTTGGTGGGGATGCTCTTTTTCTGGAATAGATTTAACAATGAAATCCAAACTAGTGAACTGAACTTGTCATCTTTCTCTACACTACGGCATGGGATACTCTTTCTTGATCTCTGATTCTGGCCTCTTGCTGTTTGAATTAAGTGTCACCCAATAACACTCCTTTCTAGCTGATCTAAGGATCAGGATTGAATGACCCACCCAAATCGTCTTGGGGTGGGATGGCTTCAGTTGGGCATTTGAGGATGGGACTAAGAAAATGTCTAGCAGACAGCTAGTGTGTTTTACTGTCCTCTCACTGTTTCGTGATTAAAATGAACAAAACTGTGTACAAAACTGCCTGAGATGGTGCTAACAACAGATCCAAAGAATTAAATTAAAAATGTGCTACTAGCATTCATGCAGGGGATGGGCTGACAGTGTTTTCATAGTAATGTGAACTTAGTCTTTACTCCAGCCCAATGTTTGCTTTTTGAAGCCATGGGACTGCTATTCTCAGATATCTAAGAGGGGGCTTGCTCCGTGAGAGGGGCTTGGCGGGCTCTGCAGACACAGAATGGCTTTCAGTGGCGTCCTTCCTAGAGAAAGCAACTAGCAGTCCAAGGCACTATAGAATTGCAGGCAATATGGGTCTAAATGCTCACAGCATACAGGCAGAATCTGGAAGTTCCTTTGAATTGCACCAACCCTTCTCCCAGAAAACCCAGTGGGGAAGCATGTGTTCTACCCCAGTATTGGTCTCTTCAAAGCCTACAGAGAGGTGTGGGGATAGTAGGCTTGTGCCCTGGTTTGTCAAAGTACTTACACATGGCTTAACTTCAAGCACTGGTTTAAGTTTCATTGTAATCAGTGAGTTTTAAGGAGATTCTTAACTGCTTTACTGAGTTGAGGCACTGGTCCATGTATGTGCTGTGCTCTACCTTGGAAATAGGAAGCACGCCCTTTTTCTGCCAGATTTCTCCTGCTCTGCACCATACCAATCCATTGTGAGTGGGGCGCGGTGGAGGAGCCTATTGGTGGACATTACACAGGCATACATTAATGCTGCTTTTGCATCTCATATATGTAACTGCTTATGCAGCAGTCCAGAATGCGGCCCATGGCTCCTTTTCTAATGTGTGCAGCCCTTTATTTTCTAGTGGCTTGGACTGGGAAAAAAAGCTTTTTTGTAATGCTGGTAAAAGAAGCAGTGGTATCAAGTCCCACCACAAAATCTGGTGGGGGCCAGGAAGAAAATCTTTTTCTGTTTTACTGCTTGTCTAAGATAAGGCTATGAAAAGCTTCGGGAAAGTCTGTACTTACTATTTTTAAGATCCACTTTGTGGGATTTTCCTTTCTCTGTTTAGACTGTTATAGACACGCCATCTGGTAATGATAGAAGTGGGGTGAAAGAAGAGCTACACCCAACACGTTGCTAGGATCTTGTTAGTACTTTGACAGGCAGAAAATTACTATAAAATGATTTATTGTTCTGTAGTATCTGACTGAGTTTGATTACACATGTGCCTATCCCAGTGTGATTTGGATTTTGCATTTTTTTCTCTGTCTTGGCAGGGTTTTAATGAGTAATGTAACACTGAAGCAGATTTGCTTAGCTTTAACAATGCTTTCATCCTTTCAAGTTATTGTTTTTGGTGTACCCATTCATTTGTTCTTTGGATTAACAATTAACACAAACCAAAATGGTTTGAGAGGTCTTGGATGTTTATGAAATCAAGCCACGCTTCTTAAAAATAGAGAGGTGGGTGGAGAACTACAATAATAATATGAATATTTTATTTGTTCAATTGCTACATGACTGTTTGACTAGCTCTCTTGTTCAGAGTGAATGAGATGAAGCCAAGTGTGAAAACTTGGGAAAGAAAAGGGACAGCTGAACAATACAGGGTGAATTTTAGCAAGTAATATGGTTTTAATTTAGGTTCTTGGTGCTTGATGCTGCCAAACGTAATTGTATGTCATTTAACCATTGTATTTCTATAGTCTTTTATAAGTTACTCATCAAGTGCTTGTAGGATATTTGACTGGATCCTCTTCTATTCAGGTTCTTGTACAGATCTATCAAGCATCAGATTTTGCGGTTCAAATTCAGCCGATATTTTTCCCAGCTGTGCTTCTTAAAACTACCACCAATATGGTGTATTAAAGGGTGCTGATTACAGTAAATAGAGATACTGTTATCTCTCATTTCTGCTCTGTTTTCTGTCTGCGGAGGGACGATATAATTAGTGGTGAGAAACCCACCCATGAAAATGGCTTAAAAAGATTTGCAGAGAGTGGGGGGAAAAAAGCCTGGAAAATATTTAGAAGAGACGTAATTATAAGTCTACCACAGAAAAACAGGCTAGTTCAGCCTCTTTTTATCTCAGCAGGCTGCCAGGCGCAGTCAAATATTTCTGGTAGCTTTGGCAAAAGGAATTGTGGTTTTTAGTAATTTACTGTTATTTGAAACTTATTAAAGTTATTAAAAGTAGAGGAATAGGAGAGAAACGAAGCCTTTGCTGATACACATGTAGCCAAAGGTTGAAGCCATGTGTCAGTAGCCATAGGGAAATGTCCAGTCTGTGCTCTTTAGGTTCAAGATAGCTGCTCTGTGGCCATCCCAGCACTTGCTGGGAATCAGGTAAAGGGATGTTGTCAGCATAAAATGATCATTAATAAAAGTCCAAACTGAATTAAACTAGCAACATCTGGAATGGCTAAAACTGCTGAAATGTCTAGCTTTTATTCCAGCATTGATGCTATTGGTTTTGTCTTTGCATTTGAGTTTGGGCCCTGAAATTAGGCAAAGCCTTAGTTTTGCAAGCACTGAAATGTGCTCTGTTTTACATGTGCTAGGTGGCCTGGGTCTGCTTACATAGTGAAGTCACTCGTGTGTAAGTGTAGCAGGACTGAGACCTGAGGCACTACACTTCCCTATTTCCCTGAGTCGGTCACAATGAGGGGAATGTTTAAATAAAGTCTAACAAAATCAGACCTGCCATCCTTGACCTCTTTAAAAAGAAGGTATTTCTGTTTGTGTCAGATTTTGTTAAACCTCTTTTAAAGCTTTGATTCTGCAAGGCCTGGGCATGACTTTTAGCATGCCAGTCCTCTCCTTGCAGTCCTTCGGACTACTCACAGGCTTAAAGTTACGCATATCCCGAAGTACTTTTCTGAATTAGTGCCTAAAACAACAAATCCCAAAGTGGGTCTATAACGACTTGGCAGGGCCTCTTTAATTCATTCAGCTTTTTAGAAGCCAGCCTTTCTCCTATTCTGCACTTCCTTTGTACTTCATATTGCAGCTGGAGTCACATGCTGATAGCGCTCTATCCTGTCAGATTTAGCAAACAGGGCCATGTGTTCATATGCAGTTTTTTTTATTCACATAGCTCCAGACATGTTTTGAGTCCAAAAGCTTTTGTTCGTTGGTCTGTAAAAAGATGCCAGCATAGACCTTGCCAGAGTCAGGTAGTCCTGGGGAACAGCTGGGTTATGCATCTGAAAGCCCTGAGGTCCCCAGTCACAAGACAGTACATGTGGAAATTGAGCCCTAGATCTCCGCAGTTTGGGAAACAGCTGACTGATCTCGATGTGAAATCTCTCAGCTGCATTGGGATTCTGGGAGAACACGTTTTGTTTCTGAAACACTTTGTATTGGTGTTTCCAAAAGGATGTTTGTTTTTTCAACTTTTCCAGTTCTCGGGAAATTTCAGAATTCGATGCAATGCAGAAATCTCAAATTTCAGCCTGCACTGAGCTTGACTACAAAATAGAATTATGAATGTAAACCTGAATCTGGGGTGTTGTTTAAGAAGCTTCCAGATTGTACTGGAAAGCAAAGACCTTACAGGAGAATTGCATTCAATGTTGCAGGTGGAAAGCTTTTTGAAGGAAGATCCATGTAGATAAATCAAGGAAAAACAGATCACATAGAAAGAGCAATACCTAACTATATATAAAATAGAAAATCATTTTTTACTGATGTGGTGATTTCTTCATTACAGCACTTAAGGGAAGATGACAATTTAAGAATCCCAGTTGGTTATTGTTACTTCTTGTAGCATTTCTGCTATTGCTGGAGCTGAACTGGGAAAATTAAAGAAGCAAATCCTTCTGAGGGTATGGCTGGAGGGTGTTTTTAAACAATCGAAATCCACCCTGCATGAACATTTTTTAAAATTCCCAACCATGCTTGCTAACATGTCTGTCCCTCTCTCTGTGGAAAAATCCACTGTTTTGTGTAATCAGTTTTAGTCCTTGAAGCAGTTGCAATACAGTAAAAAGTGATGGAAGGGTTGCAAAGGGACTTAAGTGCTTAAGTGTTTACTTTGGCAAGTTCCAGAATTTGTAGGCATTTCCATTTCTCCAGCAGAATCAATTAAGCCCTGTCAACTTTTTATTTCTGGAAGTTAGAAGCTTTGTTCTCTCAGCTAAGTCAAACAAAAGATGGATCTTGTAGATGGCTCTTTAAAGGAAACAAAAGGTTGAGTTGTTTAAACTTTTCCACCCTTTTCAAGTCCTAGCTCTTGGGTTCGCCCAAAGAAATAAAGGACTGAGTATGTGTAGCCAAACAATACTCAAAAGTAGGGATTTAACAATAGGTTGGTCCACCTGGGAGCTGTGAATAATTCCACTCTGGAAACAGGTTTTGTGATGCCTTTCACACATTAAAAATATAATTTTAATGAATTATCGAGCATGTGCATGAAGATAGAAACCTGCAATTAGTTGTAAATAGGTGCAGCTCCACTGGAGTTAAAAGAACAGCTCTGATTTGTGCTGGCTGAGAAGCTGAGCCAGTACAATGGCACTAATTTATATGGAGTAGGGGGGAGATTAAAATCAAGCATTTCTTCCATTAGAACTTAATGAACATTGTCACAACACTCACTTGTTAGCCAGCTCTTCTTAGCTAAAAACCCCCCCATCTGGTCTAGTTTTGATGAAATAGCCTCCATACTGTGATAGTTTTAATCTGTGCTACGGTTTTATGTATTTTCGTCTGGCTACTTGTGTTGAGTTTTAGCAACGTTTGTAGATTTCAAACACAAAACCAGCTTGAATTCCAGGAACAAAGTAATTGCTTTCTCTTTCTTTTTCTCTGGCAGGGTAAAGGCTGCCCAAAATGAGTTAGGGCAACAAATCCTGGCAGATTTTGAAGAAGCGTTTCCTTCTCAGGGCACAAAGGTACGGTGGCTTTTTTCTCCCTCTAATGAACAGTCTGTTGATAAATGGAATGTCAGATATAATCATCCTGGGCTTTTATTTACTGCATGATTTGTGTGTGGCTTCTTTTGTTTTAAGACTAGTATCACAAGGCAGGGCTGTCCTTAGGCTTATGTAGCTGTGTAGGACACCACTAAATTTGGGGCATCTGTGCTGCTCCAAATTTAGTAGTGTCCTATGCTGCGTATGCTTAGGGCCACTACTGCCTGCAGGCAGCACTGGCTCCCGCAGCCCCAGTCCCCCAACCCCCGCTCTGCCTCCCAGCCCCGTTGGACCCAATTCCCCTTCAATACAGTAGAACTTACCAACATGTTCATCGAATATGGCGTACTGTTTATTTCCAATTTCTAGGCCAAATTCTGCCCTGCGTTCTGTCTCCTATGTTCACAGACTTGCTAGAGGCATAAGCCAAGGAAAAATTGTGTTCCTGACCTGAGATGGGACAGAAATGTTAGGCGGTTAATCAATATTCACATTTCAGCTCAGTGTAACACAATTACTGAGCTGCTTGTAGCATGCCATGGTTGATTATGCCAGACTGCAGCATTTAGTGCCCCTCAGGATTAATCACAGATCTGCAAACACTGAAGAACATGTTTAGCTTTCTTTGAGAGGTTAGTCTGTATCTGCAAAAACAGCGAGGAGTCCTGGGGCACCTTAGAAACTAAGTGTTTTATTTGGGCATAAGCTTTTCAAGGGCAAAGACCCACTCTGTCTGATCGCCCTCGAAAGCCTATGCCCAGATAGATCTGTTAGTCTTCAAGGTGCCATAGGACTCCTCATTTTTGTTTGAGAGAGATTTTAGAAAGAAACCCCGTCTCCTGAGTGGTGGTGGGAGGTGTGTAATGTTTCTTACTCTGCTCCATCATGTGTGTGTAAATAGAACAACACTCAGTAAGGACAAATGCACAGTACTTCACTTAGGAAGGACCAATCAGTTGCATGCACACAAAATGGGAAATGACTGTCTAGGAAGGAGTACTGTGGAAAAAGATCTGGTTAATTACAGTGGATCACAAACTAAATATAAGTTGACAGAGTAATGCTGTTGCAGAAGAAAACCCACCCAACCCCAAACAGCATTCTGGGGTCTTGTAAGGAGGAGTGTTATAAATAAGACTCAAGTCATTCTTCCACTCTACTCTGCACTGATTAGGCCTCAGTTGGAGTACTGTGTCCAGTCTGGCTGCCACATTTCAGGAAAGATGTGGAGAAATTGGAGAATGTCCAGAGAAGAGCAACAAAAATGATTAACGGCCTAGAAAACATGATCTAGAGAAGATTGAGAGAACTGGGTTTGTTTAGTTTGGAGAAGAGATGTCTAAGGGTATGTCTACACTACCCCGCTAGTTCGAACTAGGAGGGTAATGTAGGCATACCGCACTTGCAAATGAAGCCCGGGATTTGAATTTCCCGGGCTTCATTTGCATAAGCGGGGAGCCGCCATTTTTAAAACCCCGCTGGTTTGAACCCCGTGCAGCGCGGCTACACGGGGCACGAACTACCGTTACTCCTCATTTCACGAACTAGGGAGCCTGCCTGCGAATCCTGCTGGGCTGCCAGCTGGGAGCCACCTAAGTGCGTGCCTCCTGGCAAGAGCCTGCATCTGGCACCTTACACCCCAAGTCACCAGCCCTCTTCACCCTCCCTCCCCAAGTCACCACTCCCTCAGGCACTGCACCTCTTCTACACCCTCCCCCAGAATCATCTCCTGCACCCGTACCCCCTGTTGGATCATGCACCCCGGTCCTCTGCCCCAGGTCACAGCCCCCCTCAGACCCCACATCCCCTCCTGCACTCGAATCCCCCACCCTGAGCTCCCTTCTGTACCCATGCCCCCTCCATAGAAAAGTGCAGCCCATGAGCCCTTACCAAATCCTAGAATAGTCCTGCCTCGGGATTGCAGGAGCTGGCCCTTACCGTTCACTCTTTATCCTGTCTGCTCACTTTTGGCATGTGTCCCTTTCAGTCCTAGGGCTCTAGATGAGAGAGAGGTGCCCAGCTGCTCTCTCCGTATTTTGCAGGCAGACTAGATAGCTGTGAGATTGCCATCAATCTAATCTGGCCTCTGCAGGGTCCTTGTTGCAGAGTAAATCTAAAGTGCGCCGGGATGAATCAGAAGCACATTGTAATGAGCAGGGATATAAGCCTATGGTAGAGTCCGCTCCCCACGCGCACTGGCTCCCGCCTGCTGCTTCAGAGACCAGTGGCTGGCCACGTGACAATGTGGGACCTGTTCTGTTAGAAAATGGTTCTGTTCGTTCACTATTCGTGCGATTTGTCGTCCTTAATCATTTGGAGATGCTTCATCTGGATGGTGTCCTGCTGCAACACCCTCTTCATGCTGAGAAACCATCTTCTAATTTCCAGACTAACCTTATTCGTGACCAGTTTACACCCCTTTCTTCTTGTTCTGACATTGGCCTGTAGTTCAAATAGCTGATGTATTTATAGCGCACCAGTCCTTGGGCTTGGGCCCAGCTTCTAATAATTCTGGAGGACACCCTGGTGGCTGGCTGTGCCTGGCTCTCCCACCATACGCTCTACTGAGCTTACCCCGCAGCACCAAAAATCTTGTTCACAAAAGACTGGACTGCCAAGAAGTTAGTCCCAAGGGCGGGGGAAGGGCTGTGGGGGGTCTGATACTTCTCTTCCTAGACCATTAATTACAGTGGATCACAAACTAAATATAAGTTGACAGAGTAATGCTGTTGCAGAAGAAAACCCACCCAACCCCAAACAGCATTCTGGGGTCTTGTAAGGCTGCAGGGGACATTTTTCCCTAATTCAGCAATCTGCCGCATGCTTTACCTGCCACTGTAAGTGTGTGTGTGTCTGGACAGCAAAAGCTAGCCGAGGCATCGAGGCCTCTCTGCACCTTTGCCGGCCCCTGGGGCAGCATAAACATTCACAGCTCACTAAGCTGCCATGAGCCAGTATTTTTGTACATTCTAAGAAGCAGACGTCCAGCAATAATTCTGAATTACGGCTTGCTCAGTGGAGAATTTGGATCCCTTGCATGGGAGGAGCTAACTGAGTCTTCTGAAGTACCACCACTGTCTCCTGACAATAAATCATTTGCCTTGCCTCTTTGAGGGACTCACAGACAAGGAGACGAGGTGGGGGAAGCTGGGTTGCAGTTGCCTGGCTCGGGGATGTGACCCGTGAATACAGCAGAGTCCCATTCGTTTCCTGCTTTAATTCTAAAATGGGCACCTGAAGGTGCAGCTCATGTACTAGGTTTTTTTTTCCTTCTCTGGAGGCCTGGGCTCAAATCTGGCTTATTTATCAGCATAGCACCGATGGCCTCCCCATGGCATCCACGGCTGAGTGGGGCCACGTCGCCTCACCGCAGGCTTCCGGGATCTGGCCTGCAAAGGGGAATTAATGGTCTGTCCCGGGGTCGGAGTTGAATAGTAAGATTCCCAAGCCTTCAAGCAGGGTGGGGTAGCTAGCGATCAGAGGCTCTGGCCTCACCAACAGACCACCAGTGTAGTAGCAATTGGGGATCCCTGGCCCCTAAGCAGGGCAGGGTAATTAGCAATCAGAGGTTCTGCTCTGACAGAGCCAGGTCAGTAGCACTTTGGGTGCCTGGCCTCCAGCAGGACAGGGCTGAATACACCCCAGTCCACTGGCTCAGGTGAGGGGTCGTGTGGCGTAGCACAGGCTGCCTCTTCTCCGGGGGAGGGGGGTACTGCTACCCCAGTGTTGAGGGGGAGGGGGGACTCAGGCCTGCCCAACTCCACCACATCCCAATCCAGGGCCCTATCAGTGGTAGGGCTATCTGCCGCTGGGTCAGTGAGGATCCACCTGCAAGCCACAGACCCAGACTCAGGCATACCGGCTACCAGAACACCACCTGGTTCCCCTGGGTCACTTCCTCCACTCCCCCTCCGGCATACCTGGACCCCCGGGTATTCTTCCGGCTCCTCCGAGTACACTGCCATGGGCATCAGCAGCAGCCCTGCAGCGCTGGCGCTCTCCAGAGGTTCGGGTTGATCCCTGGGGTATCAGTGGCTCTCCCTGGTGCTCGCTTTAGGCCCCTCTCCCCCCCCCCGCAAGCCAGCCTTCTATGCTTCTTCCAGTTCCACCCTTCTGCTTCCTGCAGGCAGGGTGGGGCCCTCCTCGCTCCACCCATTAGGTATGATTGACACTGTGCTGGTGGGAAAGGAAGCTTGCACCATGGCAGCCCCATGGTCTCTGGCTTCTGACAGTTGCTGTGGCTCTAGCTTTAAAGAGCTCCTGGTTTTAATTTAAAAATTCCTTTCCAGGGTCTTAATGTTTCCACTTTGACCCGCTCCTGTCTGCTTTATATCTTTTTTTTTTTAACTTCCATTTTTTTTTTATATTTTGTCCCCCCGTGCGGGTGCAAACACTTTCTCCTGTCTCAGGATTACTTAGCTAGTCCTCGTTCTTAAGAGAATTATTCCGTGCATAGTGCAGGGCTTAGCAAAGTGACATGCTGAGGGGGCTGGGCTTTTCCAGCAAGTAGCCTTCTCGTCAAGCCACAGGACAGCTTTGTTGCAAGTTGCTGAAAGATGCTGCTTTATCCACCAGAAGCCAGATACCTGAGTGTCAATAAGGCGTAGCAGCAGCAGTGGTGGGGAAAACCCAAGATGAAGCTACAAAAGCCAGGAGATTTTACAGTCTCTCCTTTAGGCTTTTTAGCTGTTCATTCTTTTGCTCTCCTTCATTTTGACAGAGGCCTGGTGGTCCCAGCAACGTCCTCCGGGATGCGTGTCTAGTCGCTACCGTCTTGGATCCCAGAATCAAACAGGAAATCATCAAGAAATTTATTAAACAACACCTCTCCGAATACCTGGTCCTTTTCCAGGAAAACCAAGACGTAAGTAGAGTGTGGCATGCCAAGGCTGGATTTTAGGTTTTGCAAAAGAAATTGAGTTTTGCTTGGTTGGCATCTACTAATTCCATACTTACCCAGGTTGGTGATGTGATATTTCATTGCTGAGCTAACTGTCAGAGAGGAGTAAAGACTTGATCAAGTGCAACTGAAAAGAGGATGATTTAGAAGTGGGCTTGCGCTGTACTCTTTCTCATTCTCTGCACCACTACCAGAGATTCTGCAGGCAGTTGGTGACCCAAATGCCAGAGTTTGAAAGCCAGCTGAAAATGGGAATCCATGAATTCCTGAGCTTTAATCCCACTGATTTCCTCCCTCTGGGGCTTCAAATTCCTCATCTCTAAAAGGGGAATACCTTGCATCGAGTCGCTGGGAGTACATGAGTACCCGTCTGATTTAAGAGCACAACTCCCGTTTACATTCAATAAGACTTGCGCTGTTAAGTCTCTTTCCGCACCTCTGCAAATCCCCATTTAATTAAACAGTCTGAGGATGCGCTGAGTACTGGTTTTGTGGGTCAGTTCCATATGACTTCCAGATTCTTAGCCCTGCTTCTTTTCTAAAGCCACCTGAGTATACTTAGGTGCATGTTTAAACATTAGCTACTGCAGGAGGGACATTGTTCTCCATCTCCTTCAGGTGGCCTGGCTAGATAAAATTGACAGGCGCTATGCTTGGATTAAACGTCAGCTGATGGACTACGAGGAAAAGTACGGGCGCATGTTTCCTCAGGAGTGGTGCATGACGGAGCGTATCGCCGTCGAGTTCTGCCATGTCACGAGGTGAGCACAAACACAGCTCGTGGTGATCCCTGCTTCCCAGCTTGGAGAATTGTGCAAAGGGGACATACCATAGCAAGCCACATCTTTCGCTGAGTTGAGGGGGAATCTGAAAGATTTTAAAGTGCTGCTGCTCACTTTACTGCCTGTGATGTAGGGGCTAAAACGCTGTTTAGGTGATAATCCTGGAAAAGTCATGGAAGTGCTTTTAATACACAGATATTGATGTAAAAGGAAAAGCTACCCCCCCCCTCCCCCCCGGTGGCAGAGCAGTAGATAAGTAACATGACTGAGAAGCCTGGGACTGCCATCTCACATAGCTCCTTGAAAGCCAAGCCCCAGGGGACCCAAAAGTATGTGCCAGCCAAAGTCCCCAAAGTGTTTGTCCCCGCTGCTGTTCTCTGACCCCAATTATAAGCGCTGCTCTTGCTAAAGCTTTGTTACTGTGGGATTTTCTGGCTAAGAACAGTCTGTCGGTGTCCTGTTACGCACAAACCTCACAACAACTGTGGGTATGGATTCTGAAACCTAATCTGTATGGGAGTTTAGTAGTTAAATGAGAGTGGCTTAGAATTTGCTCGAATGTAGCGGTGAGAGCTGGTGCTCTGTAGGAACTGGGCTGAGCTACAACAGTAAGCGTCAAATCTTTTTTCCTACTATGAGCAGAAGTAATTGCTAGTTCTCTTCAAGCGGAAAATCACATCCTTTACTCCTCCTCCCTCCCCTTGTAGGACAGAGCTTGCTAAGATCATGCGCACAAGAGCTAAAGAGATTGAGGTGAAGTTGCTTCTGTTTGCCATTCAGAGAACGACCAGCTTCGAAGGGCTGCTGGCTAAACGCTTCTCCGGGGCCACGCTGGCTGATGGGACAGCGGTAAGGACAGGGCCGGATTAAGACCTGTAGAGGCCCTAAGCACTGAAAAGATTATGGTTCCCCTCCCCCCCACGTAATTCAAAATAAAACAATACTATGCCGTAAAATAACATTTTATTTTTCGAAATGACACAAAACTGACATGTCTGCTGAAATTAAAATAGCTTCTTTCTAGATTTTCTGATTGCAAAATTCTGGATAAGTTCATCGAAGCTGACACGATGAAGCACGTCCGCTTCCAGACACAATAGGGAAAGTGAACCAAGTCTGTCCTGACGCATTGTTGTTCCTTGAGGGATTTTTATTCTTTTCAGCTGAGAAAAAGAGCGTTCTGCAGCGTTCTGATTTTTCCCATGATGACAACTTCAGTGCTTTTTTTGAAATATCAAATATTAATTAAAAAAAAAACTCATTTTTTTGGGTGCCCCTGCTTTGCTGGTGCCCTAAGCATGTGCTTAGTCTGCCTATTGGGTAATTCAGTCCTGATAAGGAAACGTCTAAAGAACAGCCCCACCGCATCAGCTGTTAGAGAGGAAACTCCCATCCTCCACTCTAACTGGCGCAGTGAGGAGCTATAACGGCTGTCTTTTTGGAAGCCCTTCTCTGCCCAAAAGATGGTAGCCTGGATTGCAGAGCATACAGTTTGTTTGGGGGGATCCTAGCCTGCGGCACAGAAGATCTCATTATGCTACCTCAACTGTCCTGTGCCTCTTGAATTAAACTACTGCCAAAGCCCCTTTGTTATGAAGAGCCACAACATAATTATGTTACAGTGTATGCATCACACCACACCTTTCTTGCACACTGATACAGCATCATAACTAAACATATCACTGTCTTCTCAGAGCCCCTTTTCAGTTCCTGCACAGGAAAGTCTATTCTCCTATCCTGCCGTATCCTGGGGGTTTACTTCTGTGTACATGGGGAAAGGGCCCTAGGAGCTTGCATGCTGTCTGCTCTCATTTTCAGCGTTCCCAGTTCTGTCTGTTACTGATGTGTAACAGATTGTAGCAAGGGAGGTTTAGGTGGGACATCAAGAAAAACTTCCTAACTATCAGGGTGGTTAAACACTGGAATAAGTTGCCTAGGGAGGTTGTGGAATCTCCATCTCTGGAGATATTTAAGAGCAGGTTAGATAGACATCTATCAGGGATGGTCTAGATGTGCTTGGTCCTGCCGTGAGGGCAGGGGACTGGACTCAATGACCTCTCGAGGGCCCTTCCTGTTCTAGTGTTCTATGATTCTATGTCCAGTAGCCTAGAGCATGTGCTTCTGATGGTCACTTTGCTTTTTCTGCCTGGAATCTTAGCTGAGAAAGTGGAGTGTTACTCAGATGCTGCCAAGACTGCACCCAAAGTCCACATGTGGCCCAAAGGCTGCAGGGCTGAGAATTGCGGCTTTGCATTGTTGATCTGCAGAGGCCTCTTTGGACTCTTGTCATTAAGGGAGCTGTGTAGGTGTACTAGCTTGGAGCAAGAGTCGCTATGATGGATTGAACCATTGCTGTTTGGGGTAATGCAGTAGATGGTGCCAGTTAAAGGGGGAGGCCTTTAGTACTTCCTTGAATTGATTGAGTGGAGCGTTCTTAATGGTCAGATTTTCCTTTTTCCAGAATATTTATTATCAAATGTGCTGTTAATTAACTGACTTTGGTGGGTTGTTCTCATTATCCCTTCAGAAATGGGATGCACGGAAGCGATTATAATTGAAGAACAACAAAAGAGCAGAGAAGAGGGTTTGAAATAAGGAAAATTAATTTCTTTTCCTGGCAGCCTTTTCCCCACTTCTGATTCCATTTAGGAACCATGAAGCCCTGGATCGCTGTCGTCTGAACTCTTTTTAAACACAAAACAAAGCGTGCCATTATACGGGTATATGTGTGGGGGGGGGAGGTGCACAGATGTGAGGCGTCACCCCATGTTCTCCCAAGCCTGCTGGAAAACAAGCAGGCAGAGCCCTCAGCTGGGAGCCAGAAGCGACGCTGCCACTAGCAGCAGAGTCCAGCCCTTTTCTGTGCTGCTTTGGGCACCGATTCATAAATCGAGCCAAGCGAAACGGAACCGCGCATCCCAATTGCTGGAGACCGTTCCGGCTTGTTCGCCTGCTGCAGTGGAGCTAGCGCCGCACCTATTGCTTATGCGGGCAGATCTCTGGGTTAACCCCTCAGGTGCTGGGGTTTGCTGCCTGATCTCACACGCGGACTGCCTGGGATTTGACTCTCGGCACAGCCTGTCCTGGCTGGCTAAGCCAGTGTGGAGTCCATGCGATCTGGAGTCTCGTGGGGGGATGATTCCCAGCCCTCTTTGAATTTCCACCTACCCCTCACCAAGAAGGGCTATTACAGGGCAGGATGCAACACCAGCCCTCCAACTAGAGCCCTTTTGCTGCCTTTCCTCTAGCAGCCTCTTCATCTTCTCTCAGTGCCTCTGCAGTGCCATTCGCTCCTCCATCAGCAAGGGCTGGAGCTGGCACTAGCTCAGACGCTGCTGCTTCCCTCGTGCACGTTTTGCATGAGTTCCAGGCTGTGCTTCTAGTGCTTGATAGAGCAGAGAGCAGAGCTTGGAACCCTGAACCGCGACCCATGGACCACCCAGTTTGCTGGCTGTTAAAGATTCCAGGGCTGATTTGGGCAGAACAAGGCTGTTGGTGTTGTTGGCCAGCGTTTCCCTTCCTGAGTTGCATCGGTATAGCTGTTGCAAGCAGAACAGGAGGGTGTTGCACATGTCGGGCACGCGCTGCCTTGGGATTAGGGAGATTGTAGTAGCATAGCAGGAGGGCAGGCTAGAGGTGCATTGCCACTTGGCCGTACTTACCACAGTCAGTCTTTCACTATACTGAGCCTTGAATTCATCTCTGCGTGTTTAGGAAGCAGACCTGGGGATGATATTTGCCTTCGCTGCTCTGGGTACTCTGTGATCTGTTGGTGTATGTCCCCCAGGGCAGTCTGGCAGCGAGGGGCAATGCAGACAGGGCTTAAGAAAGCAAAGCGAGATTGCAGCCGCTTGTTTGAGGTCTCCGAAACTTCCTCTCCCTTTCCTAACTTTCTTTTTTTTAACAGAAAAAGGCCGACTTGCCACCTCCCTCGACCAACCCATTTCTGGAAGACGAAACTGGGACAGAGGCAGACGAAACTGTGATCGAGAGAGGCGATCCAGACAGAGTAAGTTTGCAAAGTTCCTTGTCTGCAAACAAGGGAGTTCCCAGGTTCTGAGACACACAGGAGGTCCCTGTGCTCACCCCCGCCCCCCTCCCCCCAGTCCATTTGAGAAGTTCTTTGTCGGTGCCACATGCTTAGCATGACCTTGGTCCAACACGTATTTCGTAACAGTCATCCCTCACTTGACACTTCTCCCCATGTGACTTCAGGTCACAGGTGCTCACTTAATTCTCCTCCAACACAGGGAGAATGAGCTGGGTTCTACAGTTGAAACTCTCTAGTCTGGGATTCTCTGGTCCGGCAACATCCATGGTCCGGCATCGTCAGGAACCCTATGGCTGCTCAGGGATTGGAACACACAAGGGGAAAAACTGGCACAGCAGGCCCATGGATGTTGCTGCACCAGAGAGCCAGACCAGCAGCTAGAGCCTGACAGCTGGGGGCCCAGAACCTCAGCAGCCTGGGGGCCAGGATGGAGGGACTTGCGTTGACCTCCTATGGTCATGCAAACTCTCTGGTCTCGAGGGTCCCAGGCCAGGGAGGTCCAACCTCTAGTCTACTTCACACACCAGCAACTAGGTCAGCAGCTGAAATGTAACTGTGGAACCTTTACTGATGAAAGACACCAGAATATGGTTGGGTTTTTGGATCCCAGAGGACACTTGCTCTGCTGGCCATTTGAAAAACTCGTATTTTGCTTTGTCAGCTGAGCAAATTAAATCGACAGTCAGTGACAGAGAATAAATATGGGAGTTTTATATCTTGTTTGGTTTCCCTCTGCCGGAATGGGAACGTGAAGCACTTATGTAACACTTTCCCCTTCCGCGCACAGTACACACGTTAAATGAAGGCGCTGGGTGTGGTATTGTTTGTTTTTAATGGGCCCAGATTTCAAAGCCCACAAGTTGCTTTATTTGGCTTCGTGCAGTTGACGATTGCAGGGTTAATTGTAAGCTGTTTGGGGCACAGACCATCTTTTTGTTCTGTGCTTGTTTACGTCCTGGGGCTCCTTAGGTGCTGCTGAAATGCAAATAATTTAATAATCATTAGGATAAAACTCCTGAAGTAAATACTTCTTGAACAGAAGGCTTCGTTCCTCCCATTCAAAATTAACTCCATGAAGTGGGGTATTACCTGGATGGCCTGAGCGACTGGGAACCTGGGTTTGAGCCCCACTTCTCCTGAGCTTGTAGGAGCAGGAAATCCTGTGGAGGCAAGATGTTGAGGGCCAAGGGAAGTGTCCTTTGAGAATGGTCTACCAGTGGGAGGTGTGGGCATTGGCTTGTTCCTTTCTACCCTGTGCTGGCTAGGAGAGAGCCAGCCATGAGGAAAGGTGTCCGGGAGGAGCAAAGTGAAGGAAAAACAGAGGGGATTCTCAGGGGCGCCAGAAGGCAGGCGAGGGACTAAATGAAGTGCAGAACCATCCCCTGCTTTTCATGAACAGCTGAATGTCCTAACTTGTCAGAAGGCAATTCAAGCATTTCTGCGCTGGGAATTGTCTAATTCCCAGCACGCACGGAGGTTGGTTTCCTTCCTGGCGTCAAGTCTGTGCCAGCCTGTCGCACCATTCCCTGATGTGCTGCTTATGAGGGGTTGGCTGGGGCTGGGAGTGCACTCGGCAAAGCCCCACCCAGCACACCTGGGGAGGAGGTTTCCCTTCTAAGTACTCCGCGGTGGCTAACACTTGCATGTTAGTGACAGAGCCTCATAGACCTCATGGGCCTTTGCTGGCAGGATAGGGGCAGAAAAAAAAAGGGCGAAGGCGGAAGGGGCTGGAAGCTGGAAAGTCTCTAAGAAGTTAGGGCTGGAGACATGTGGAGGTGGAAGAGGGCTACGGGGGGGACACAAGAGGGGGAAGAAGTAAAAGGAATCCATGTTAAAAAGAAACCCTTCTGGTGATCCTAGCAGTTAGATTTAATCTATTTACTTTGGATAGTAATAAAAGGAAGCCAGGCCAGCTGCAGACCTCCTTACTGTGACAACAGTAACCTTTTATTATTCCATCAAACTCCAGGAGGAAATAGCTTAAACATCTGCAGCTCTTGGACAGCATTCATGCGTTCTGAAATACTGCTGCTCGGCTACTGTTAGAAGATTTAAAATTCTGTCTCTCTCAGCAATCGGGGCACAGGGTGATGCAAAGACTGAGAGACACACACAGTCTCTGCTTCAGTCGAGCTCTTCCAGCTGCAGGAACTGCAAACACCACTAGCCATGTCAGTCCCTGATCCCCTGCTGCACAAGGTGGTCCTAGGAGAGCTCCCATTCCAGAGGCCTCTGCGAATGGTGCATCTTCGAGATGCCACCTATCACGTTCTTCCTGCAGCTGAGGGATGTACAGATTCCACTGGAATGCACAGGCCCTGGCGAAGGCGCAGGATCAGGCTGCCGAGCGGTGGCTCTCTCCGAGTTGTTCCAGCTCACATTCCCCGGGGTGGTGTTTGTGAAGAGGTTAATGGGAGCAGGCCCATGGAGGGTTCTGGCCTCCGTGCACTGCTGGGTTCGTATGGGCTTTGCAGCTGCACGTCGTTAGTCATTTTAGTGTGCGATGTTATGCCTCTGAAATGCTGGCATGGCCAGTCTGTGCGCGCATTCCACAGGTGGTGTTTAGGAAAGCACGTGGGACAGAGCTCACTAGTTGGCTTTCAAACCCAACTCTGCATTGGCCAGGCCTGTGACCCGGGCCTCTGATAAAGGAGGTGAGAATTGTACCAGTGCTTACTTTGCAGGCTGTGAAATTGCGGGCTAAGAAACAGAGTCAACAGGAACAAGTGTCCCTATCGGCTTTTGTACCTGGAGCTGTAGTACAAGAGAGTGCCTGAAGCCCCAATTCCACATTGGGAAACACAAACAGCCCCATTGACATCAGCAGACACGTTGACGCTCTTTGCTGATGCGGTGAATGAGCTGGACTTTGCAAATGTAGACTCGCCAAAATGGGGGGGGGGCATGGTTGTGAAGAAGACTTGGCCCCTGAAAAATATTATAGGTAATAACATGAGAATAAGGCAGATGACCACAATTGTGCATGTACTTAATGTTACAAATCAGGTATGAAAAATAGTATTAGTGATAATTCTAAAACATAACTCCCCTCCCACTGTAAAATCATAGTGTCCGAGTAAAAGAGCTCCTACAGCCTTCTGTGCATTGATAACTGTGACTCTGGGAACTGTGATTTGCTTACCTCACTTGCACTTGCACTTCCACCTGAGTATAGTATATTTTGTGTTTTAAAATGTGTTCACTGTGCTTTTAAACAGCTGCTGTGCACACGTATGATGGGGTTGCTTTTTGGTGGTAGTTCCTTATTATTAAATAGGGATGTTGTGAAGATTGGCTGTTTGCAAAGTGCTTGGAGATCCCCTGTTGAAAGGTGTTTTAAAAGCACAAACTGTTCTTTATTGTAAGAGAATTCTGCAGGTGGAAAGACAACTCTCTGAATGACCAGACCTTTGTTTTGCTACACGCTGGGAAGGATTGAAAGCACTTCAGAGGACAGGGTGCAAATTCAAAATGTCCGTGACAAATTGGAGAGTTGGTTTGAAATCAACATGATGCAATTCAGTGAAGACAAGCCCAAATTCATTCACTTAGGAATGAAAAGTCAAACGCACAACCAGAAAATGGGATTAGCTGTCAGTCCTTCTGAAAAGGATGTAGCAGTTGTAGTCGATCATAAATTGAATACAAGTCCACAGTGTGGTGCCGTTGTGAAAACAGCTAATATGATTCTAGGGTGTATTAACAGGAGTGTTGTACGTAAAATGGAAGAGGTGGTTGTCTTGCTCTACTCAGTGCTGGTAAGGCCTCAGCTGGACTGCTGGTAAGGCCTCAGCTGGACTACTGTGTCCTGTTGTGGGTGCCACATGTTAGGAGAGATGTGAGCAAATTAGTGAGAATCCGGAGGAGAATGACAAAAATGAGAAAAGGTTAAGAGAGCCTGACTTTGAGGTGAGAGATGAGGAAAGGTGAAAAAAACTGGGCATGTTTAGTCTTGAGCAAAGACTGAGGGGGGATGTAATAAGTCTTGAAATATGTTAAAGGCTGCTATCAAGAGGAAGGTGATGAATTTTTCTCTAAGTCCACTGAAAATAGAACAAGAAGTAATGGGCTTAGTCTGTAGCAAGGGACACTTAGGTGAGATATTGGAGAGGCTTCTAAATGATAAGTGAAACTTTGGGATCGACTTCCAAAGCAGTTTGTGGAATCACCATCATGGATGCTTTTTAAGAACAGGTTGGACAAAAACCTGTCAGGGATGGGCTAGATTTACTTAGTCCTGCCTTAGCACAGGGGACTTCCATAGCTCTCTCCCAGCCCTACGTGTGTATAGTTCTATGGACATGTTATGACGTGAAGTGTCCAAACCAGGTTATATACGGTATTATAAACACTTCATTTTTCAAAGGAAATAAACCAGGCAACTAGGCACAAGAAAATATTGCTAGATTGCGGCAGACCATGCACCTATGTGCATCGTTGGTTATCTAGCAAGTAGCATTTTGGGTTACAATAAAATTCTAAAGAACATAGGTCCTGCCGTGTTATTTTCATTGCTGTATTCTATAGAAGTGTGATGGCAGATTTGCAATCATTGCTCTAAATGCTTTTGTTGCAGCCCAAGAAGCCAAAGGTCCCGGACAACCCATTTCATGGCATCATTTCCAAGTGCTTTGAACCTCACCTCTATGTATATATTGAGTCTCAGGACAAGTGAGTAACAAGCATGCACCTTTTTCTTGGTCTGGGTTGTGTATTATAAGGGCTTTTTTTTTTCAAATGCTGTTTTGCTCACTTTGATCTGCAACAATAGTGCCACTCCTCCATCTCTTAGAAATGATGGAATGCACAGAGACGGGCCTCCCGAAAACAGAAACTGCAGGGGGATGTTTGTGTTTGACACCCACAAGGTGCTGTACATTTCATAATGAAAGGTGGCCAAAGTATGGCCCACCAAATCATACCAGCCCAGCAGTCTGTTGCTTCCTTCCTGAGAGATGTGACTCATAGATACTACAAGTCCCAGCCTGCATCGCCTTGATGTCCGGGCTGCCAAATCACATTGCAGCTTCCATTAATTTCCACAGCCCTTGATTCTTTATTTAAAAAGGAGAGTGGTGACCATTGGCTGTTTTTATTTATATCAGGAACAGCATTTAGGCTTCTGGTAAGTTATTAGTGTGGCTTTGGGTTGGGGGTGTATTCTGTGATTTGATGATTTATATAAAGAACCTCACATAACGGGTGTGCACTACCCCCCCCCCCCATACACCCCAGCACAGCACAATCATTGCAGCTCCCATTGGTCAGTTTCTAGCCAATGGGAGCAGTGCTGATTGTGCTGGGGGTGGGGGCAGCATGCAAAGACTCCAAACCCACCCCCTGCAAGATGTGCACAGCACATGGCCCCAGCAGCCAGCCACGTTGAGCTGCCTGGGATGGTGGCAGGCAGAGAGCATCCTGGCGGGCTGTGGACCGGATCCAAAGGCTTGTCAGGTCAGATTTTGCCCATCCTGCCATACATGGTCTCTGTGGCATCTCCCCTCCCAGAGGTGATCTGATAACATCCATGTGACAAATGCGGCGACCGATTACCGGGAAAAGTGATAATGGGAAAGTATTTAAAATAGTTTAGCTTCTTTTAATGTAATTTAGGGGCTGGGAGGTAGGGAGGGCATGACCAAAATGTGACCAGCCAGCTCGTTGAAGGCTGCCAAAAATGAAATGAATGGACTCAAACTGGATAGGAGCTCATGGAGGTGATGTAATTAGTGTTTAACATTCATATTATCGTGGCCCTGAGGGCCCCAGTCATGGATTGGAAGTTCACTGTGTCCCAGTTGCTTTGAAATGCCAGGTAGCCATCCTGGGGCAGTTTTTCCACATCCCATAAACCTTTTATACTTTAAAAACATGCAACGCTCGGCCTTTTTGGGGCTAGTTTCCATTCATGCAGCAGAACAAAGGGAAATTATTTTTTCCTCCCTCTCCTCAAGCTATGCACCGAAGTGCATGAGCATTCCAGCCCCCTACCCCCGTCAATTTAATCCCTTTTTTTCAGTAATCCTACCCCACCCTGCTCCTGCTCTCAACATTTTTTTCCTCCTATTTTTTTCTGCAGTCCCCAAGATGTTTTATATTAGCTTTATAGCTACAGGCAGCAGGGAGTTCAAAGAAAAACTGCTACATTAGCCAAAAAAAGTTTGCTTTTCTGTGCAATCTCTTCTCCTGGGATTGAACTTTTGAGGGATCTGTTTGATTGATATCTGCATATGGGATGTTGCTCAGACAATTAATTCGGTATTTGGGCAGTGAATAGAAAGGGTGATGGGAGAGAAGTTTTGTTTAGAGCTCCCTTAGTTTGTGGCAGCAGCTGGTTCCTCTTCTGCTGGAAAATTGTTTCCATACCAGTGTAAAGATACATGGTGCCAAAATCTGTAGTAGTTTCTCAGGAGATACCTGAAAGCCTCAAAGATATCCGCCCCCTCCCCCAAGCTTGGTTACAGTTCAAATTTCAGGTATCAGATTGCACTTCAGTCTCTCTGATTCGTATGCACAACTTATCCGAGCAACATGAACATAAAAAAAATCCCAAAGCTCTGTTATAGCAGAGCAGTAATTTTGTTAAAGTTGAGACTTGCTCACTGTTATCAGCCAGTATTTCTAAGTCCTCTAAACCGCGCCCCCCGCGCCCCCCCCCCCCCCCCCCCACACCCACGCCTCCGTCAGCCCCCCAAACCCCCCCCCCCCCCCCCCCCCCCCCCCCGACATACTCAGATGGTCTTGAGAATTGCAGTGCCTTATTGTGGTCCAGCATTGGGTAAGTGTTCTGAATCTGGGATCATTTGAACAAGGAGTTCTAGAGGTATCCAATAGGGTATTCTAGCCTTCAATTGATTTGGACTTCTTAACATTATTTGCTCCTACTGCTGAGATGGTGCATGTTATCTAGATTGAACGTACTGGCTTGTTAAACACGGGCTATTATTTATTTTTGTCATTTCACGGCTTGATAGCCAGGTCTTCTTGAAGATTGTGCACCCTCCTATTCACCTGATGAAGAACGAAGCACTGTCTATTAATTCTGTCATTGTTTAGCTGGCAGCAATGTCGTGATAGCATTAACTAGGAAACTGTGTTAATTGCATATTGTCATAGAGCTAGAAAAAGTATTGATATTCTGGATTCAAGGAGAGAGAGAGACCAAAGAAAAGGGTGAGCATGCAAATAGAAGGATTTCAGGCCAATAGAAATAATGTAAAATTCTGCCCTTGAGTGATTTCTTTGCAGTTTTTCTCTCTCATCTTGTTTTGGAAAATCTGCTTCCAACTAGTGTGCCATTGTTTGGAGAGGTTTCTCGTTTGCAGATGGAAATAAAGATGCCATGTCTGCAGCAGTCTCATTTCCAAAACCTGATTGGAGAGTTTCCTTTGGGGTGTATCTTACCTTTTTCAAACTTGACCTCCTAATGGCGGGATACAGCTTTTCCTTATCTGGTACTTCATGCTGCTATGAGGCCAATATGGTGTGTTGGCAGAAATGTGCCTGTATGTTCACAGTCCTGCTGCCATGAGTTTGCCAAATCCCAAACAACAATTGCTGCTGCTGCTGCTGCAAAAAAAATTGCCGTCTCCTGGCTCATCAGGGTCCCAAAGCACTTCAACCCCACGCTGGACAAGACCCCCAGAATAGCATGGGGAAGAGTAAGAAAGTTCTACGGACCTTGCTGGCTCACAGCGAAGGTCTTACAGGCCATCGGAAAAGTGACAGGACAGTTAGTCCAGATAACTTAAATGCTACAAGCACTTGTGCAGTATTTGGGCCTGCAGCTACTGAAGTCAACGGGGAAACGTCACTGACATCAAGTCTGAGGGATAGCCTTGTTAGTCTGTATCTGCAAAAACAACAAGGAGTCCTGTGGCACCTTAAAGGCTAACAGATTTATTTGGGCATCAGCTCTCGTGGGTAAAACACACTTTGTCAGATGCATGGAGTGGAAATCACAGAGGCAGGGAAATAAATGTGTGTACAGAGGAGTCCGGATTATCTGTTACTCGGTAATCCGACACTCTGCTTTATCCGACCCTGCAGCTCCTGGGGACTTTGTCCCCGGGAGCTGCAGGGTCAGATACAGCGCGGGCCAGGAGAACGGCCCCGCTTGCTGCCCCGTCATCATGTGGCCTGCAGCTCCCAGGGACAAAGCGGCGCCGGCAGGAGCGGCATCAGCAGCTCCAAGAGAGTGACGGGGCAGCGAGGGGGGCCATTCTCCCAGCCCGTGCCCTGGAGCCGCTGATGCTGCTTCTGACACCGGCACTTCATCCCCAGCAGGAGCAGCATCAGCTCCCCGTTGCTCTCTCGGAGCAGCTAATGCCGCTCTACAGTAGAGTCCCTATCATCCGACATGCGGTAATCCGACCACCTGTCGGTCCTGTTTAGGTTGGATAATTGGGACTCTACTGTACTAGCATGTCAAAAGAAGGGAGTTACTTGTCAAGTGTAAGACCAGTGTTAACGAGGCCAATTCAGTCAGGGGGGATGCCACTCACTCCCAGCAGCTGACGGGGCAGGTGTGAATACCCAAAGAGGGAAAACTGCCTTTGTAGTGAGAGAGCCATTCTAAGTCCTTATTCAATCATAATTTGATCGTGTTAAATTTGCTTTGATGTTTCCCTGTGTAGTCTGGTTTTGAAGGTTTTTTGGTAGACGGGTGGCTACTTTTAAATCTATTTCTTGAATGTCCAGGGAGTGTTCTACAGGTTTGTGTGTGTTAGCGTTCATGATTTCAGATTTGGGTCTAGGTTGGCCAATATATATGGCAGAGGGGCATTGCGGGCACATGATGGCATGTATTACATTAGTGGATGTGAAGGTGGATGAGCCCCTGATGGTGTGGCTGATGGTGTGGCATCAGGTTCTCTGATGGTGTCACTTGTATAGACATATGGACCGAGTTGGCAACAGGGTTTGTTGCAGGGATAGGTTTCTGAGTTAGTGTTTCTGTGGTGGGGTGCATGGCTGCTGGTGGGTATTTGTTTCAGGTTGGGGGTCTGCCTCCCAAGGCCTCAGTAGAAGCCTGTTTACAATAACTTCCAAATGCAAATTGGACCAATGTTTAAAATTCCTTCCGCACAAACGAAACATGGTGCCAAAATCTGCCTCCCCCACGCAGTCCCTGCTCTCCAGCTTGCTCCTTGGGAAAAGCCTGAAGGAATGGACAGGCCTTTGCAGTGTTCCCAGAAGGCCAGCTTGTTCAGTCTCCTGGTGCGTGATGGGAGACGTTGATTCCAGAGTCCCGGATCCTCTGCTGAAGTGGTGATTTGGCTGCCCCAGGAGCCTGACATTGGCTTGTGCCACTAAGTGTCAGATCAGGCATATTGCCAGAGTGTTGCTTTTCCAGCCATTTCAGACAATGGTCACTGCAGTGCCATGTGCTTGTATTGAGAAGGCTATGCAGGAGCCAGGGGACACATCTGACTGCCTAGCAGGAGAAGGTGTTTTGGAGATCGAGCCTAGGAGGTGTAAAGAAACACAAACCACTGATGTTACTCACTGTGGTCTGGTTTTTTATCCCACGACAGTATGGCTGCAGCCTCCAAACAGAGTGCGAAGCACAGCTGTCAGGATCGAACAGCAGCTGCTGAATTTAGTAGGATGTTTACTAGAAACAGGCCATGTCCGATATCCTTTGAGACGCTGAAGAGATGCTGCAGGTTACCATATGTCAGCCATCTTTAGTAGGCATCTGCTCCGCGGATCCTCCGGCCATGGCAGGAAGCTCACTTTATTTTCTCTTGGGAATGAAGATTGGACCCTCAGTGTCAGGGTTCAAATTCCTTTGCCCCTGTAGGAGATGCAAAACTTGCAGGCAGGGTTGGATTTCCCAATAGGCAGCCTAAGGATGTGCTTAGGGTACCAGCAAAGCAGAGGCACCAAAAAAAAAGAGATTTTACGGTATAGTATTGTTTTTATTTTGAATTACATACGGGGGGCACCATAATCTTTTCAGTGCTTAGGGCCTCTAAAGGTCTTAATCCAGCCCTGCTTGCAGGCAAGGGCTGAAGAACCCGAGCCCGGCACTTCCAGTTTGATGCTGCAGAGGTTGAAGAATGACATGCATTCTGTGGAAGTTGGTTTTGGAAAGTTGTGATGGGTGATTCCTGAAGCCCGCCATCAGAAGCGTAATGGCAGAAAGGTTATTGTGCTCTTTTCAGGGGAACGCAGTGCACGTGCCTCTCCCAGCCTCTTTCGGTTAATTATCTTCTTTGCCAATTCTCGGATTGAATGCAGAGCTGGTTTGAAAATGTCAGTTGAAATTAGGCAACGGGTGGTGGGGGTTTTTTGGAGAGGCGTTAATGGAAATTTTTTTTGGCTAAATGATGTTTTTGCAGAAAGGATCCACTTTGCATGGAAAAGTTTGATATTTTGTTGAAAAGAATGAACGGCTGAAAGTCGAAATATTTTGTCTGAAAAGGAAACGTTTCAGTTCAGCATGGCACTGCTCTGCCTTGTGGTTGTTGTACTTCAGTTGTTTTGTGGCACCGTTTCCCCCTATGGATTGGGCTGGGCTATCTCTACCGTGATGCACCACAGCCAGGCACCAGACATTTTTATGGTGCATCCTCCTCTGCTTATGAAGAGGAGAGCATCAGAGCAGAAAGAGGCTGGTTGGAGAGCCCAGACCATAAAGAAGAATGGGAATGTGAAGATCCAACCGTAATGAAGCACCATGGTGCCATTTTGAATGGGAATTTCGTGTTTTTGCTGAAATATTTTGGTTTTTGATATTTTGCTGAAACCCCAGTGTCTTCTGTGGGTGGGGGAGGGGACACTATTTTTCAGTCAGCTCTAATGAGATGCATCACACAGACCATCCGTACTGGAAGAACAGAACATGGCATGGTAATGCTGGGGACCTGGTCTTGGGAAAATGGGACCAACGGAGCTCCCTTCTGACCAGCTGAATTGTGTTGAGTCTGTAGTGCTTGCCTTGGCCATCGCCCAAGCGGAAAAGCCTTTTCTCCGTGGTGGGGTCGACTATGAGTGAACGTCATTGGAACCTATACAGCTGAATGCCGCAGCTCCCCTGTAGGGGTTCTAGTTAGCCAAGAGCGGGTTAACTCGGGTGCTCTGCAGTTCAAAAGAGGCAGCAGAGGCACCACGCTTGCACACAATAAGTAGTCAGTGATGGAAAAGAACTTGAATGAAAACACACTTGCATGTGTTAATAATAATAGTCTATTAATGAAGTTTCTTTAAAGGATTTGTGCATTTTCGGTTCAACCCTTCGGCAACTAAGGGAAGCCATAAAACAAGAAGTCACGCCAGTGCTGTTCCATTTCGAGCATGTCTCGTTAAACGGCATGTCCCACGTGGCCCATTGTGATGGAAGCTGAGCTGTGCCATGTGACTGTTACTTCCACTGGTGCCAGGAATGACATCGCGAGCAGAGGCTTGGTGCCCTTGCTGGTCCTGGCAGAGTGTGTAATGGTTTCTATGTAGCTGGAGAACCAATTGAAGCCGCCATTTAAAATTCTGAGTACAGTAGATCATGACTCTTCTGTCCTGTTCTTGATTGTTACACAAGCTTTATACCGAATGGGTGGGGACTCGAGGTCTGAAGCATCACGCAGCTAAGATTTGAATCCACTGTGTTGGTATCCTACTACAACTCATCTGGTTTTAAGTGACTTACTTTCTTTATTTAACCACCACATTAAAATCTCTCTCTTTTTCGTGCGTTAGGAATCTGGGCGAGCTGATCGACAGGTTTGTCTCTGATTTCAAAGCTCAAGGGCCTCCCAAGCCCAATGTGGATGAAGGGGGAGCTGTCCTGCCAAGCTGTGCTGACCTTTTTGTCTATTACAAGAAGTGCATGGTGCAGTGTTCGCAGCTCAGCACCGGTGAGCCCATGATAGCCCTGACCACCATCTTTCAGAAGTACCTCCGGGAATATGCCTGGAAAATTCTCTCTGGAAACCTGCCCAAGTGAGTTAAGTTTCCCAAAGAAGTGAGGCCTGGGGAGGCCATATGGGAAGAGATGTGTTGGGACGGTAACTGGTTAATCAATCAACACTTGTGAGTGCCAGCGTGGCACTTTGAAAGGAAGCGTATAGCTGCGGCGTGACTCTCTTTTGTACTATTATGGTGAGTTGAGAGAGGGCAGGAGGGCAAGCAGAAGAACTAGTGCTGGGATTTTCAAGAGACTGAGAATTAGCCCCTATCCCGTTGTAATTTAATGGGAGTCAGGCACTCAGCCGAGAACAATAAACACTTGAGAGCTGACTTTCAGAACTGCTTGTGCACAGCTGCCCTAAAGGCTGGTTCAGACAGGATGTAATAGTGTAGTCGATTAACCGACGAACCAGTAAGCAAAAGCATATAGGTTAATGCTATAGACTACCCGCATTTCCCCCCAACCCTTGCCAGTACAGTTTTTAGCAGGCTGGCCAGCAGCCCAGCTCAGTCCCAGCTTGCACTGGATGCTGGACCTACCCCCACTGCGGCTCTGCATTTAAAGTGTATTAGGAGCCAGGGGGCTCAGTTCCAGCTCGTGCTGGGTCCAGGAGCTCAGACCCCTCCCTCCCAGAAAGGGGCTGCCTGGGGACTATAGAATGGTCGACTAACCGATAAGAATTCACGAGGTTAATCGACTATTCAGTTAACCGATATTTAACATCCCTAGTTCAGACCTAGTTCTCCGCTGCTCTGCACCTTGTGTGGTGTGCAAAGTGTGTGTGAAAGACCAGATAGGAAGTGTTGCATTGTATACCAGCTCCACATAGTATGAATATCAACACAAAGGGTCAAGATGCAAGGTAGTGGATTGTCAGGTGCCCTCACCTTGGGTCCTTGTGTGTGTGTCAGTCCTTTTGCACACACCTGTCCTTGTCACACATGCACACTACAAGCAAAGTTGTATAAGCACCATTTTGAAAATTGGGACAATCAAGCGGATCCTGGTGGGATTCAGATCATTTTTGCAGGGTTCTGAAAAGGCTGGGTTGAAACTATTTGAGGAGGAGGGGAGGGATGTTTACAAACACATAATTAATTGACCGAAGCCACATGTTGTTCTGTTAAACAGGTGACAATCCAGTGAAGCCATTGGCGTCAGTATGGATTTACACTAATGTAAATAAGAATGAAAAATTTCTCAGAGAATTCAGGGAAATCCTCAGTGTTGGTTACAGATCATGTATATATACAACTATTTGATATGCCCGGGAGCAACAGAGTGAATTTCTGAACCCAGCTAAAATGTTTTACATATGGTAGTGGGGTTGCATTTAGAAAAGTAGAAAGATGAATTTAACGTGTGTTCTCCAGCAGACCTCAGTTGCATTCTTTGAACATATGATTTTTTGTGCTCTGTTTCTGCTGTCCAAGATAAATATCGCTGTCCTATTTTTTTCAAAAAGGATTTGGATTATAGAAGGTTGAAATAGGCAGGGAATTTCCTGACTCCCAACTGTTCTGATCCTTTGATTAACTGCCGTGTATCAACAAATCAGTGGAAAATATTGGAAAGAATCTCCATATGCTGTTTTTTATTGTCCTCCTAGTTACCGCAATATTTGAAATGACTGCTAAACTCTGAGAGAGGTGTTGGAAATCTATTTAGTTAAATAGCTTATTACCATGTTGTGTAATAGCTACTGAGATCTTACTATAGCCATGAAGTAGAGTAGTTGACAACCAAGGCAAGGTTAGCCGTGAAATGTGTATTCAATTTGATCAAGGTCTAATGTACTAGAAAGGGCTTGATTTTCCATCACTTCTTACTTCTAAGACTGGTTGTAGCTGAAACAGAAGTGATGGGCTTGATGTCAATGTTATTGGGTGAGACTCTTTTGCCTGGTTTATGCTACAGGTCAGACTAGTTCCTCCTGGCCATACAGTGTGTGAATAGTGCGCTGGGCAATGTGTGTACAGGTACCAGAAAGCACAGTTGATGGTTCAGCCTCAGTAAGTTTATCTCCCCCCAGAACAACAAGCAGCGGCGGTGGACTGACCATCACCAGCCTGCTGAAAGAAAAGGAGGGCTCGGAAGTGGCCAAGTTTACGGTAGAAGAACTTTGTCTGATCTGCAGTATCCTCAGCACTGCAGAGTACTGCTTGGCAACAACCCAACAGGTGAGCTCCCTCTCCAACACCTGTAGCATTGCATCCCATCTACCGTCTGATCAGTGCCTGTTTGCTGTGGCGTTAAGAACCCCTCCCTCCTTGGCCCCTGACTGCACCGAGTAATATTACAGGCTGTTCCATTTTAAAATCAAAGGTGGCTACTAGGATGTTAAAATGTGTTCCATTTTGTAAACGTGTAACCACTGACATATTCAACAGTTACACGATTACACGCGAGGGAGAGGAGGCGGGTGCCGGTGCTCACTGGAAACTGGCTTTTAAGCTGGCTCCCTGCAAGCACCGGCTCCCACCTGCCCAGGCTTATCGGTTAACTTTGTACACAGATACACGTCAGGACCCCAGTCGCTGCTCCTCCAATTTAAAAAGTCAGCAAGGTTCTGTGCTGAAGTTGCCATGGCGATTTCTGCTGCGTATAACGCTGTGTTAACAATTCTGGAACTGGAAGATTAATTAAAACCACATTTCAAAGGAAAGAGAGTAGATTTTGTTGCCCTTGCTGGATCAGAACAGTTTTGTGAGTTTAACGTCAATGGGTTTCTCACTTTTGGGTAGCTCTCTTTCATACTCCATCTGTAAACTGCTTTAATCCAATAGAGGGAGAATCGTCAAAATCCCTTCTCTCATTCCCCTTCAAGGCACGTCCTAATGTAGGGCCAGGAATGTGCATCTTCACTGAGTGCCAAGAAAGGGGACACAGTGTTTCCTTGTGGCTGCTCCTCGCCATCACCATTAACTCTCCATTTAACATGCTCTCGAAATCTTAGCTTAGCGGATGTCCCTGTGTTGCTCATCATCATGGCCAGCCCACTGGGAACTGAACCGGGGAACTCCAGAGTTAAAAGCACGGGCTGCTGCTGCATTAGCTAAAGAGCCAACATCCTCCAGCTGCAGCTATAACGGACTCGTAGCCTCGGCACATCTGGCACAAATGGGGTTCTGTAACGCACATTGATCAGTGGGTTACACACCTCTTCAGGCGAGTTCACCCCAAAGTACGTTGTCATGTTAGGCTTGTGTGTGGAACTGGACCAGAAACGCTGGCTTTCACAGGGCATTAACGCTTCAGTGACACAACACTATGGGTGTACAGCAGCGGGTTTCAGACTGGGCTGGGACTCTGAGGTGGGTTGCAACTAGGGATGTGAAAGGTTAACCGGTCAGCATCACCCTAGACAGGTGATGCTTCCCAGTTGCGGTTAACCAGTAACCGATGGGGGCTGGAACAGCCCCTGCCTGCCGTGGGCCAGGGACTGCTCCAGCCCTGCCGGAGGCTTGCCATAGATTGGGGTTGGTTGCTCTCACATCTGGAGCAGCCTTTGTGTGCAGGGAGTCTGGGCCCACCAAAGGAGGGGATGGTTCAGTGGGGGCTGGGAGGCTGGAGCTGGCGGCAGCCCGAGCCCCAACACGGGGCTGGGGATAGGAGCCGCATGGGCTAGGGGCTGCTCCAGCCAGGTTGGAGTGGTCCCCGGCTCAGATCTCGTTTTAGTCGGTTAACCTGTTAGGTTGATCTAACGTTTAACTGGTTAACTGATTAACCGGGATTTTCCATCCCTAGTTGCGACCCCCTTTGAATGGCGTCACCAGGGCTGGCTTAGACTCTCTGAGACCAGGGCTGAAGCCTGATCGCAGTCTGCGGCCAAACCAGAGAGCTTAAGCCGAGGGTCACGTTTCAGGCTCTGTGGCTAGGCCTGAAGCCTTATGCTTGGGTTTTAGCCCCCCCCACAAGTGAGGCTTGGGTGGGCTCATCTTCTGCCCCTCTTGCTGAGGTCATGAAGTCATTTTTGTTGTCAGAAGGGGGGTCACTGTGTAATGAAGTTTGAGAGCCCTGGTCTGGAGCTTCGGAGACATGGGAAATCTTGATTCCGGTTACCGTTCCAATCTCAGACACGTTGCAATAGTCTAGGGCCCTTTCCCGATGTAAGAAGCTGGTGTTTCCAGGAGCGTAGGCAGCTACGCGATGAATTTAGGTAGAAAATCTGATTTCTGTCTGTTACACATTTTGTCCCGACAGCTGGAAGAAAAGCTCAAAGAAAAAGTGGATCCAAGTCTCATGGAACGAATCAACCTGACCGGAGAGATGGACACATTCAGCATGTACGTCCAGCAGGGCACCTTTCCATAATGCTGGCCAATGTTATAGCTCATCTGTTCAGTGGTGCAGGCCAGGCCAGTGCTAGCAGAACAGCAGGTAGATAATGCCATGGCGACTGGAGATGCCATCGTGCTGAAGCCTGGGCGTAGGGTTTTCCCAGGGGAAAACGCAGTCTCTTTCCTGGATCGCCCAAGAGCATGCGTGATCTTGACCACAGACATAGTGGTTCCCCACTGTTATGGCCAAAGGAACAAAACGACTGAGGAGGAAAGGAAATAGTGAGCTCCCATCTGGAATAACACTTGCATTTTGGCAGCTGCCTGAGATTGCTGTTACATTTCAAGCAGGAAGCCATCCTGGTACATTCTCCTTCCTGCAGTCATTTCCCAGTGTAAATCAGAAACATTTTCATGATCATCGAACATTATTTCATGTGGCATAAAAGGATCGGCCCAAGATGCAAGGTCCTTGCCTTTAAGGAATGTAATTGAGGGGAAACGGTGATCATGCATTAAAATGAATTTTCTCCTATTGCCTATCTTAAAAAGCCCATCACTGGCTCCTTCCATCCGAGGACCTCAACTCTCTAGCCATTTAGCCTCTGAGGGAAGGTAGTCATCTTATCCCCATCTTCTTCCAGGTGAGAAACCTGAGCCACAGAGCCATTAATTGGCTTGCCTAGGGTCCCGCAGATACCCCGACTCTCTGATCTTAGTCACAGAACCTCAGTTCCTTGAAATTCTAATGGAACGAGGGTTTAATCAAATATATGCGCTTGCTGATGCTTCTCACCACCCCTGGAGCTGTGATTTAGTGAGGATAGCAAGCCCATGCTGCTCTGCTGCTACCAGAAATGCTGTTTGAAGTTTTTTCCTGTCTGGCTCTGGCTAAGACAGTCCCTTCTCTCTCACTGTAATGGGCGGGATCCTCACCAAAATTCCCACGCAAGATTTTCATACGCTTTAGGGTTCCTGCTGCTTCTTTGGCCTGGTTTCCTTTAGGGATGTTAATGGCTAACCGATTATGGTTAACCAGTAGGGGCTGGAGCAGCTTCGCATCCGACCATACCTACCCTGTTTAATTGGTTAACCAGTTAAACTTAACGTTTAACCAGCTAACTAATTATACGGGATTTTACATCCCTAATTTCCTTCTGATCTGAGCAAACTCCCTTTCCCTGCGCGCACTCTCAAATCCTAACTCAGAAGAGCAGATCCCTGGTCTCTGAGGTTAGAAAGACGTTCCGTGGCTTGGTTGAGGCAGCAAAGCAAATTAACCCAGAATTGGGAATGTGATTTGCCATTCTGCCGTGTGGTAGATTCTCCTAATACAGGCAACAGGAGGGCGTGTGCTGCCTTCTGCCATGACCTGTTCTTACAAGCCAGCTATTTTGCGTCCCCTGTCAGTTGTGGTTGTCTCGCGTGGCTGCTAATGAGATGAGGTTTTGGGAATTGTTTTGACAGACTGTTCACACATGGCTTTAAAGTTGGACCTTTAAGGCTGATGCATCTCATAGCAGAGGCTTTTAATGGCCCTTAAATCAAAGTAGCACTTCAGCCAGCATCTGGAAAGTGTAGGACATGCCTATGAATCTCAATTTGATATATATAGGCATTTTCTTTAAACAATAAGCAAGTCCTTTCTACTGGGATCTGGTGCCTAGTTATGCCCAGAAGTAAATAAAGCCATAAAATGTTTCTGGTGACACACCCTGTCCTCTGTTTTACCACACATGTCATTAGGGCTAGCAGCTGATTGTTTTTGGTTTTTTTTCATTGTAATTGCATAAGAAAAGGGGGAAATTGTTGGAATGCATGTAAAGAATTTGTATTAGCAATTAGCTAGGGAAACGTTTGTCATTGGAATGAGCGTGCAGGTCATTTAGGAAATGACAGGATGGTAACAAACAGTCTCTTCTTGAGGCAAACTTGGAGAACAAATTGAATTGTGGTCTGAACATGGAACCAAGAAACTCGTAAGGGTCTCTCCCCAGCTCTGCCTCTGTGTGACCCTGGGCAAGTCACTTAGGGATGGATTTCTTAAGGGTTTGTTCTGACCCTCTTGAGAGGGTGTCGAGTTTGAATTTCTCTGCCTCCTTGGAAAAAGCCAGTCTTAGTGTCTCCATATCTTGGTGTCACCCATGGGCAGCAGGTGAAAGTCCACCTGGGAAAGACTAGCCCTGCCCCTGGAGTCAAGCCCCGCCCACCCGCAGGCCCATACTTCCTGGCCACCTGGAGGGCCAGGGCTGCAGTGCTGTGAACCCAGCCCCAGCAAGGGAGCTGGGGACCCAGCCTTCCCTGGTGGCCAGGGCGGGTAGGCAATTCTGAGAAGGCTGTGCCTTCCCTTGCCCACATTACCAGCCGCCCATGGGGTCACCGTCTGTAAAACGGGCTAGAGACACCTCTCTCGCAGGGGTGATGTGGGTTAATTGGGCTGTAAGCTCCTCAGGGGACAGCCTGTCTGTGTCTGCGGAGATGTTTGTATAACCCTGAGCTCAGCAAGGCCCCAGGTCGGGACAAGGATTCTGGGCACACAGCTGATAACGCGCTCTGCGTTTGCTGCTCGGTGTGTGCTGTGCTGGAAATCAGGCGCTGCTGCAATCCCATTGCTCCTGTAAGCCCCTTGGGCCGATCTTAAAAAGCGGATCCCCCCTCCGCTCCCTGACTTGATCTCTACTGCTCTTTATACAAGACTGGGCCTGGTGACAGAGCCCTAGGTAGGCTCCTAACATATGGAGACCAGTCAGGAGCAGCTTCCTTTCTGTTAAACTGGCCATGATTTATTTTGGTGCTAGACCACAACTATTTCCTACATCACACTGGCAGCAGATGCCCTGTAGGACTCGCACGTCCCCAGGCAGCTCTGCTACCTTGGTACTACTGGAGCTTGTGTAATTTCCTTGGGGGGTAAATCCTGGGGTGCCAACCAGATGTCAGAAAGGCACACCCGCTAAGGAGTGATGGCCGCAGGTATTTTCCTTTGAGTGCAAATGCCACATAAGAGTGTTACAGGCAACAGGCACTTCAGCTCGAATAGTTTTCAGGCTGCGTTTGGCAGGCTTGCCTGTCAAGGTGGCTTTTTAGAAACATGCTGGATAGGAGCAATTTTTCTATATTGCGTACTGCTCCTGTTGTCACGTGTGTTGAGCTCTACTGGAGAGCTTTGACAGCTTGCCTGGTCTGTTGGGGAGGAGTAAATTGATAGCCGGTTGATGGCATTCATCTGTGTCGGGTTGGAAATCTTATTTGGGGTCGGGGGGCTGCTGATCCACAGAAAAATGAGTCAGAGGCCGCACACAAGTGAAAAGCTAAGAAGGAGAAACTAAGAAAGACAGAGACACTCCCCACATTCCCCTTGCACACCAGAGCCTAGGGGGCCCCAGGCTAGTACATTTTGTGTGCTCCAGCCCCATGGGGAGGTGAGGGGGAGCTGGAGCACTAGCACGGGCTCCCCAGTGCTGGGGGGGGGGAGCCCCAAGCTTTGAGGGCTAGATCCAGGTAAACCAGGGACCGCATCCAGCCCCTGAGCCTTAGGTTCCCCACCCTGATCTATGTCAATAATTGGATTTAAATGTGTAAAGAAAAAACTCCATCTCTTGAGCTGGTAACTTGCAAAGCAGCTTCTACAGAATTTTGCTGATGGGGGGTGAGTGGGAAAGAAAGCAGCAGTCACGGTTTCTCACGCACTCATCAAGTTCCAGTTAGGCTCGCATCATTTGCAAGGTAAATAGCAAACCATGGTCGTGGGGAACTAAGAGGTCACTTAAAAAAGGCTTGAGGCTTGTTCTGAGGTTAAAGTTGGTTTCTTTTGTGGGTGATTTGCCTGTGCACCTCCTAGCGAAAGTCTGCTATAAAAGCACCACGGGGCCACCTGTTCTTCCACTGCTGTTTTAGGTCAGGGTGGGTGGGGAACCACTTTTGGGTCAGGGCTGCTGACGCACAGTGAAAAGCAAAAACTCCTCCTCCCGCAAAAAAAAAACCCCTCACTGACATGGCCCCTTGACCGAGGAGAACGACACTCCCCACATTCCCCTCACACCAGAGCGTAAGGGGGCCCAGGCTAGCAGATTTTGTGTGCTCCAGCCCCACAGTGGGGCAGAGCAGGAGGGAGCTGGTGCGCCAGTGCGGGCTCCCCAGTGCTGGGTGGGGAAAGGGCTGAGCCTTGGGGGCCAGATTCAGGCACGCCAGGGGCCACAGCCAGCCCCCAGGCCTTAGGTTTCCCCGGCCCTATTTTAGGTTAAGCATCCTCTACTGGCCCATGGTTCTTAAGTCCAGACTTTAGTGCAAGGGGATCAAATCTGGCTCTAAGTAATATTAGTCGTTTTTTACACAATCCGTAGCTTATTCTGCCCTGTAACTCTGGGGAGCCTAGAACAATGGACTGGTACATCTCTAGACATGCTATGCTGAAAGGAGGACACATTCGGAACTCATCCAGATGCACAGTCTTAGCTCCTTTATTTAAAAGCCTTTTTGTAAGTGTCTCCAGCTAATACTGCACGGGAAGAACAAAATATCCAGTGGAAGCCACCCCGATGCGGCATGGTAGAGAACTGCCTATTGGAAATGAAATAGTCATTGTAAAAAGGCTGGTGGAAGTGGCTTCATAGATGCAGGAAGTAAGGGTGTGGGGGGTTTGCTGCAACACCTGTCTGGAAGTGGTTTCCAGCATATGCCAGGTTTTCCGTTTGGTTCAGTGGCTCTCAGCACCCCCACTATACAAATTGTTTCAGCCCCTGGAAGTGATCTGGTACAAGACTGGGATCCCATTCTCCTTCTGTATAAAAGTGTGTCTGTGGATTATCCCACCGCTGTCATCCGCATGCACAATGTCTTGGGCTCTAAGTGCAAATTCTAGCAGTGCACCTCTTCACACTGCAGTACATGTGCAGCCTGCATTTTTGTCTCCTCTACCATTCAGAGAAGTCCGTGTTGGTGCTGGCTTACTGATTTCTGTTGTAACGCATGCACTTGACTTTTGCAGCGTGATCTCCAACAGCATACAGCTGTTAGTGCAGGACTTGGATGCAGCCTGTGACCCGGCCCTCACTGCAATGAGCAAGGTAAGTTTTTAAGAGGTTGCCTTCGGTCGTGCTTTGCACCTGTTGCTCGGTGACACTGTTCGGTTTCACTCTGGGTGTTTCCTTTGCCCTATTCTGTGAATAACTGTGTGGTACTGGCTTGGTTTTTAAAGCTGCCACTGTTTTATAACTCCAGGCACGTTTCATTTCCGACAAACTCTTGTGTGACTCCGGTAAGAGCTTCTGTTCTCTCGCAGCTCAGTGAACCACATGAGCAAAATATCTGAATAAATATTCATCCCTGTCCTTCCTTTCAGCTCTCCCTGCTTGTGGGAATCTTGGAGAGTGGGAGAAATTTGATTAGCTCTAAATGCCACATGCAACTTTGTGGGTCTATCTTCTCTACACCAGAAGCTTTACCAAGCCTTTTCTGCTCTCTTGTTTAATGCTAGTCTGTGACTTGTTTGCCAGAGGTACCCGAAAGGCAGAATAGGCCTGGATTTTGCCGTGTCATTTCTCTAACACTTCCAGTGACACGTGGCACTGTGACAGCAGAAGCCCAGCCTTTCTTTATGGTCATGTCATCACTCCAGGGAAGATTGACACTGCTGCAATCGATCTTCCGGAGTTCGATTTAATAGGTCCAGTAAAGACCCAGTAAATCAAACTCAGAGGGGGCCCCCATCAGCGGCTGGCGCTCCTGTGAGAAGTAAAGGAAGCCAATGGGAACGTTTACTCCCATCGGCCTCCTGCTCTGGGATAGCAGAGAAACACAAATCAAGGTACATCAACTTGAGCTACGTAATTAACATATTTGGAGTTCCATATGTTAATCCGACCGTCCCCTTTAGTGTAGGCCTGGCCTGAGTCACCAGCTCTTTTGGGTTTTGGGCAATTGCCTTGTCCTCTTCTACTCGTCAGTCGAAATGTAGAGCTGTGTGTGTGTCTCCAGAGTGTTGTGAAAAGCCCACATTGCTTTCAGGTGAGGACACCGAAAGTAGGTTGTACCTACTGGTGGGGTTTTCTCCCAATTAGAAATATTAAGCAGAGGTCTCTATTTTGTAGCAACGATGCACTTCCTAGCTGCCATGAGTTTGAACAGCATTTTGGTTGGTGATGTATTCCAGCTGTAACTACCCTCCACTCCCAGTGAGTGAGAGTTGGAACGCAGCTCCAAACAGAATTTGTATGTCCCAGTGGAAAGAGGGTTTTTCGAGGGAAAATAACACTGGGGGTGAGGGGATTAGCGCTTCAGGTGTTGCTTATGTGCCCTGTCAGTCCCTCAGATGCTCTTACCCCCACTAAGACAGTATGTCCAAACCACTGGGCTTTGGTTGTTTATACCAGAGCAAAACCACAGGGCTGGGATAGCAGCAGATGGTTGGCCATTTATTTTTATCTTTGGAACACCAGCAAAATGAAATCCATGTGAGGGGAATGATCGGCTATAAACAAGCTAAGCACGGTGAAACTTGCTAAGTAAATACTTGTCATTTGCACACCCTTCCTCTATGTGCAGCAAGCCAGCAGTTTGTGAGTTGTACTGGTATTTTGAAAGAGCTGGATTTGATGTAAGATTTTTTTTTAACTTTCTCAAGACCTAATTATTGTCTCTAGCTGAATTACAAAGACATTAACATTCGGGCAAGTAAAATTTCATTTACTTTTGGAGGGAGGAAGGATGTGCCTATGAATCCACTCTCATTTTCCTGTAATATGAATAGATGTCTGTTCCAGAGCCCTTGCTATTCCTTAGTTCAGATCTTTTACCATACCCTCAGAAACCTGCAAGGCAGACCAGTCTGGGTTCTTTTGTAATTCTGCAACATGGCTGTTTTCTTGGGAAAGAATTTGTTAGAAGTGAATTATGAAATACCCAAGCATCTAAGCATAGCTTGGCTTCGTTATTCATAGAGAGATTTCACATGGAAAATAAATAATGTGAATATCCATTTCAGATGGAAATGGTCCCATTTTTTCTCTCTCGAATATTTTGGGCAAATCTTAAGTGAAGATAGAACTCCACCTTCTAAAATGTGTAGTCTTTGGGCATCAGCTGTGCTTCTGAGTAGATAGTTACTTTTAATAACTGCTCCAATAGCTATTGTGGGGCACAACCTGTGTTTTATGGTGTCTTCTCCTAGCCCTTCAATTTTAGAGGTGGCATTTATAATTGGCATGCTCTAAGTACAGATGGTGCTGTGGAAAGGCAGAAAGACAGCACTCTCCAAGAGCTTCATCTGATGTGCATAAAAAGGGCGCACAGGGCTAACAATTGAAGAGCAAGCATAGGCGTGCGCACAGGGTGTGCCGGGTGTGGCTAGACACACCCTAATGTCTCAGGCCAGCTAGCGGCTGCTGGAGGAGGAGAGGAATTTGTGATGGGGCGCCGCAAACCCTCACTTTAAATTCCCCACGGCCATCTACGGGGCACTATGGGGCAGAGAGAAGGCATGCGCGGTGTGCTGTAACGCTGCGCAACAGGTGAGAGGGGAGACACCCGGCCGCGGCGTGACG